GGCTGGCGCCACACTCACCCTGCTGCCCATCGGCCCCTGCAGGCAGGCCCTCTAGCCAAGGAGCCCAACAAACGCGACCCCCACGTCCTGAAGGCCTGCCATGTACCCGGGGCCTTAAACGCGTTGAGCTCTCCCCAAACCCTACATAAGGCGCGTTTACGGAAACGGGCTGAGGGGCCAAAGAGCGCACACAAGGCAAAGCTGGGATCCTGAGCTGCCCCCATGACCCCACGCCGGGGCTGCCCAGGTCGCGGGCTGCTGCAGACGCCAAGCCTAGGGCGGCGGCAAGCTCGAGCTGGGCTCCACCCGGCCAGAACGCCAGCCCTGACTGACTGACTCCTCCTGGCCCCCTCCCTGGGCGACCTGGGGGGAAGGTCCACCGGCAGCGGCGGAGGGGGCGGGGCCAGCCACACCCTTCCTCTCTCTGCTCTCGCCGCCCGGGTTCCCTTGCCTCCCTGGCTCTTCGCCTTCGCACCTCCCAGCCGCAGGAGAGCAACCTTGGCCCCCGGGCCCCTCCACGGAGCCCCGCGGGCCCGCCTGCTCTCTGCAAAGGAAGGTCAGTTCAGGTTCTCGTATGGGCCGCCTGGTCGAGCTCTAGCCTTACCTTACAGAATACGAACTGCTAGCTAAGCAAGGTCTTTATCGCGGCTTAACCCCCGCAAGGCGCGCGGCATACGGAGGTGGCATGCCAAGGGAAACCCACACGGCGGGCGGCCCCGTGGAGCTGGCCTGCGGGATCACGGGCGCGGCCTGGGCCAGGGCCAGCCCGGGCAGGGGCGGGTGGTGCACCGTGAAGGAGGGGCGGGACACCTTGTGCGGAAGTGAGGCGAGCTTGATGGACAGAGAGGCGTTAGCAGGCGGCACAGAGGCAGCAGAGGCGGCAGGTAAGAAAGCTTGGTTAGCTGGGAGGGACGCGAGGTTCTGCAGGAGCACGGGCTCAGAGTTAGCCGGGAGCAGCGCGGGGGGCGGAGGCAAGGCGGCGTTAGGAGGGGGCGGGGCGTGGAGGGCGGGCGGCCCCGGAGGGGGCCGGCCCAGGTGCGGAGGGGGCGGGGGCGGCCTCGGCTCCGCAGGGGGCGGGGCCTGAAAGGAAGAGGCGGGGGGGCTGGCCACCGCCTGCAGCGGGGTTAGGCTCAGCGTGGCGCTGCGACATGCAGCCCCACTGCCGAAACTGGCTCCAAACGGATGAGCGGAGGCGGGAGGCACCGCGTGGTTAAAGGCACCTGCAAACAGGAGAGAAAAACCCAGCTTCAACAGGCGGGCATCGCCAGCCAAGCCAAGGAAGGCGCGCGGAGAAGGGGAAGCCGACGGCGGCTGCAGCTCCAGCTCCGCGTGCGAGCGGCACAGGTGAGGGTGAAGCGCAGGCAGCGGGAGCGCAGGCGCTGGGATGACCTGCAGGACGGCTCCCCTCCCTTCCCCTCCCCAGCCCAGCCCCGGCGCCCGTGCCCGGTGAGGGGCCGGCTGTGGCCCCCTGCTCTCCTCTCCACCCCGCACGCGCCACGGTGCATTTGGCGGGCGCCGCGGCCCTTGGCTCTTCCCCAGCGCCGGCCCCAAGGCTGCCCAGAGCCCGGGCTGCGTCAGGCCTGACAGGTGACCTCCGCGGGGAGGAAGGAGAGAGCTCCGTCTGGCGCCATCTCCCCTGTGAGCGAGAGGGACGCCGTCAGACCAGAGAGCGTGGCACAGGCCGACTCACGCCTGAGCGCTCTGCCCACACGACAGTCACGTCTGCGTTTCGCGAAAAGGAACGAGGTGACGGGTGCAAAGTGGACCCAAGGGGATACGCGGGCACAGCCTCTCCCCCCTCCGGGGGCCCTGGAAGGGAACCTGCAAACAGCGGTGGTTAAACCCAGCGGCCCCGGAGGGCGCCGCTGAGAGCATGCGGCCCGCGGCCTATCCCCCGGCGGGTCCCGCGCGGCCAGAGGGCGCTGCCTACCTCCGACTGCACCGCCGGCCACCCCGGAGGAGAAGCTGCCCATGGCGTGCGAGTTGGTCAGTCTGGGGGCGGCGGTTGAGACGTGCACCAGGCCGGCGGCGGGCACGGAGCTGAACAGGGACTGCAGCACGGACGGGCCCAGGTTGGCCTGCAGGGACATGGGGCCCAGTGCGAACTGCGGGCCGGGGGCGAAGGCGCCCAGGAAGGGGCGGTGGGTCTGGGCGGACGGGGCCGTGCCCCCTGCCGAGGACACTGCCGGGGCAAGGCCCGGGCCGCTGAGGAGGCCCCCGGAGGGGGGGGCGGCGGCGGCGGCGGCGGCGGCAGCAGCCGCGGCAGCCATGAAGAGGTTGTGGCCGTTCTTGACGTCGGGCTCGCGATCACGGCCCTTGCCCGCCTTGCCGTGCGTCGCTGAGGCCTTGTCCGCGGGCCCACACACAGGTGGGCCCCCCTCGCCCTTCGGGGCCAGTCCGTCCAGCTGCCTCTTGTTCACGAAGGGGCCGGGCTCTGCGGCGCCGCCCTCCTTGCCCCGCGGGCCGGGAAAGCTCAGGGGGGTGCCCAGGCCGGCCACCTCGGGGGCCTTGTGGGAGAGAGAAGCACCATCGCTGAAGCTGTGTAAACTGAGGTCGGCCGCCAGGCCCCCGCCCAGGGCGAAGCTGCTGGCGGGATGGCTGCTGGGGCTCAGCCCGCCCGCCCCCGGCAGCGCGCCTGGGAAGCTCTTCCTGGGGTGGGCAGCCAGCTTGGCATCAGCCGCGCCAGGTTCCTCCAGGCCGGGCCGGAAAGCGAACAGGGAGTTGTGGCTCAGAGCGGAGGCGGCCTGCAGCGGGCTGTCGGCTGCCTTGGCCAGGCCGAGGTCGGAGATGGGCGAGAAGGTGGACTTCCACTTGCTGCTGTTGACCGGCTCGCTGGCCAGCACCTTCCTTCCCGCCAGGCCGCCCCCTGCCAGGAGAGGCAGCGGCTATGAGGCCTGGGCTGGGTGGGGCAGAGCGGAAGCTGCGGGAACCAGACCCCCGCCGGCTCAGAATGACCCCCGCCCCCAAGACAAGCCCCCATGGTGGAGGACGGGGCAGACCTGGCGAGGGTGGGGCCGTGGGAGAAACTCAGGGAGCAGGGCTGCTTGTGCGGGAGGGCCGGCGTGTCAGCACAGAGCACCACACGTGCCCGATCTACCCAGGCAGCACCCAGAGCGCCCGCCATGTCCACAGGGAAAGGGGCCAGGAGGCCGGGCGGAACCCACACCGCCCAGGGACCACTCTGGAAGCCCCGTGTGGCTCCTCAGAGGCCAGGCACCAAGGACTCAGGCATCGGGAGCACCGAACTCACCATTTTCCAAGGTTTTCGGAGGAGATTTGCTTTCTAAGGAGATTGTTGCAATTTTTCTTTCAATTCTATTAGGAAAAAAAAAGAGATGATAAATGTTTGCAATCCACGGGAACACCAGAGCGCTATACGTTTACACCGAATTGCCCAGCGGGGTCGGTAAGCCGGCAATGCATGACCCGCCGTCAGGGCCCCCGGGCGCTCCCATGCCCATGCGGTGGCGCCTATGCCGGCACGATGACGGCTGTGGTGGGGGACACAGCTGAGAGCCGGGCCCCGGCGGAGGAGCAGGGATGCCGTTTCCCAACACGCAGAGACAGCCGCGAGTCCCCGATGGAACTGTCTCCGTGCTTAACGTGCTCTCGAGCTCTAGGAGACCACGTCGTCCACAGAGGCAGATGCGCAGCACCTAGCACGTTAACTCCCCGTACTCCCTGTAAGCTGTACCCGTAGCTGCACCGAAGTACACAGCAGTGTGTGCTTCACGTGTCAGGATTTCTGTGGACCGTCCCGAAGAACTATGACCTCCAGAGACACAGAACTCGCCGAAGAATCCAGAACTTGCACAATGTACTTTTCGTACGTGTAAGAGTAACAACAAGACACTGAAAACACAGGCAACTAAAGAAAACACAGGGACGTCCCTGGCGGTCCAGCAGGTAAGACTTCGCGCCCCCAGTGCAGGGGGCCCGGGTTCGATCCCTGGTGGGGGAACTCGATCCCACATGCATGCCGCAACTAAGAGTCTGCATGCCGCAACTAAAGATCCCACATGCCGCAACTAAACATGCCACAACTAAGACCCGGAGCGACCAAATAAATTAAGAATTAAATAAAATTAAAGAAAGGGACTTCCCTGGTGGCGCAGTGGATAAGAATCCACCTGCCAATGCAGGGGACACAGGTTCAAGCCTGGTCCGGGAAGATCCCACAGGCCACGGAGCAGCTAAGCCCGTGTGCCACAACTACTGAGCCTGCATCTCACAACTACTGAAGCCCGTGCGCCTAGAGACCCTGCTCCGCAACAGGAGAAGCCACTGCAATGAGAAGCCCATACACCTCAACAAAGAGTAGCCCCCGCTCGCCTCAACTAGAGAAAGCCCTCACGCAGCAACAGAGACCCAACGCAGCCAAAAATAAATTAATTAATTTTAAAGAAAAAAAAAAATAATAAAGAAGACACAGATACACAACACACGGTGCCTCGTCAACACTGAACACTCCTGTGCCTCAAAGGACACCAGCAATGCAGTGAACACACCACCCACAGGACGGGAGAACACAGCTGCAGATCCCGTACCTGACAAGGGATCCGGTACGTAGACGTCTAAAGAACTCTCGCGACATAACAACAGCAGCACAAGACAACCCGACTCAAGAGTGGGGCCGGGACCTGAACAGACATCTGTCTGAGGAACAGATGATGCTTAGTGTCGTCGACCGCGAGGGAAATGAGGTCAAAACCACGGCGACACCACCATACCCTCAGAGAAATAGCTACCGTACTAAAAACAAACCCAGAAAATAACAAGTGCCAGTGAGGATGTGGAGAAACTGGCACCCTTGTGCATGGTTGGCAGCAATGTGAGATGGGGCAGCTGCCGTGGAAAAGTCTGGTGGTTCCTCAAAACGTTAAACCCAGACTTGCCACATGAGATCCAGCAATTCCACGCCTAAGTACTCGGTAAATTGAAAACACATTTTCAAGTAAAAACACATGTAGTATAGGGACGTTCACAGCAAGCACGATTCTCAACAGCTGAAAACGAAGCAACCCAAGCGTCCACGGACACACGGTGGATAAACAAAACGTGACATATACACACAGAAGAATACTAGACTTAAAAAGGAGGTTCTGACACCTGCTACACCACGGATGAACCTGAGGACATGACGCTCAGTGAAATAAACCAGACACAGAAGGACACACGCTGCCTGATCCCACTCACGGGGTCCCTAGAGGAGTCAGATCCACAGAGACAGGAAGTAGACTGTGGGGGCCAGGGACTGGGGGAGGGGCTGGGGAGTCAGTGTTTAAGGGTACAGGGATTCTTTCTGTGGTAATGAAAATGTTCTAAAACCGACAGCGGTGATGCCTGCACAACCCCACAAATACGTCAAAAGCCACTGGGTCGCACGTTTCAAGCGGGCGGTGTGGTATGTGAATTATACCTAATAAAGCTGTTATCAAAAAAAAAAAAAAAAAAAAAACCCCAGGAAGAAAGCACTCTTCACCGTCAGCTGAGTGGACAACAGGCGCTGATGGGAGCCTGCACGCCTGCCTCTTGGCTCTGCGCTGTGGCGGCCACCCTCCCCTTCTCTCTGCCACCAATAAACACCCGCCTCACGCCGCTGCCCCGGGAGCTGCAGACTCAGGGGTCAGCCCTGCCCCACACGCACGTGGCGAGAGGCTCTCAGACGCCCTGGGCCCTTCACGGGCTGTTTCTTACACAGTTAAAGTGAACAATCCAGGAAGGGGCCTGTCTGCTCCAGGACGTGCCCCAAGTGAGGTCGGGACTCTGTGCCCACCACCCAGCAGCAGGTGGGAAGCTGCCTGCCCCGCGTCCTGGCCACAAGGACCTGCCCCGTCGGCCCCACTCACCTGGCACTGCCGGGCTCGTCCTCAGAGCCCTGCTCCTCATCTGAGGTCAGCGGGGAATAGTGGGCCCCGTTGGTCTGGCTCAGGGGCTTCTCCTTCTTGAGCACGGGCGGCTGGTCGTTGTCCTGGTAAGGGACAGGCGAGCTCTTCAGGGAGCTCTCGGGGGACGAGATGGCCGTGATTTCCAAGGGCTGGTTGATGTTGCTGACCTGAGGGGTCAGACGCACAAGCCCGTCAGCAGGCCCCTGGAGTGCCCTGGACCTACCGCCCCCAACGCCACTCCCAGCCTCACCATGGAGTTGAGGTTCAGGGGGGACCCTGAAGACTGCGTGAAGAGGCCGGCGACGGACGGCAGGGCCCGGCGCTTGGGGGACACGCCCGAGCTGAGGCCGGGGGTCCCCGCCGCCGCCCGCTTCCTCCTGCCCCTCTTGCGGCTGTCCTGCCCGTGGCTCTGGCCGCCATCACCGCGGGCACCCGAGGACAGAGGGCTGTGCTTGCTGGAAGGTGACTGCTTGGCGCTGCTAGAGCCGGCCGAGATGGTGAAGACGATCCTTCTCTTGGCTTCACTCTCGGGATCCGAGAAGCCGGCCTCAGAGGGCAGGTCTCCTTTGCTGGTGTCGGGGAGCGGGCCCTGGGCGCCGAGCCTGGGACTGGCGCAGAGCTGGGGGGTGGGCGAGGCCGAGCCGCAGTTGCGGGGCTGTGCCAGCAGGGGGGGATGCTGAGGGGTGGAGCTGCGGGACCCCACAGTGGCAAAGAGGCTTCCGGAGCTCGAGGACTCATCCAGGGCGGGGGGCTCAGCTCCAGAGACGAGCGGTACCGGGCTCCCTGCCAGGGCCCCACTGATGGCCACTGAGCCGGCGTAGGCAAAGCCTGTGGGAAGGACACGCTTTCTCAGGGGAGCTTGTCCGGGAAAGGATGCCCACCTGGCCGAACCCGGCGGAGTGCAAGGAAGCTCAGCTCTCCGCATGCTCAGTGCCCAGCACCTTGAGACGGCACCACGGAACCAGGTTCGGGTGAGGACAAGTGGGGGCCCCTGGGCCGTCACTTGTGTGCTCTTCCCACTTCTGGGCCTGGGATGGTTGGGCCCTGGAGCTCACGCACAAGCCGGTAGACCCCGGGCACCACCAGCGGTGACGCCCTCCCCACACGAGAGCAGCAGCGCCAGAGGCGGGACGCCCGTCCCACCAGCAGCCTCCTCACTGCGCTCTTTACCCCCAGAAGAACAGGCGTAGATAAGGCCGTGCGGACACAGGCAAGCAACCTGACCACACATGCCCACCGCCCCCGACAGGATCCATGGCTGGGCAGTGGCGACAGGCACCCTCTAGGTCGCAAGGCCCCGCCCGGAAGCCTCACTCGGAGCTCTCTGAGGAGGAGCAGAACCGGCTGGAACGCAGTTGGATGAGGACGCCACCACCCAGAGGACCGGCATGTACCCAGGCCGAGCACAGCCAGCTGAGATGAGCAGAGCGGGACAGCCCAGTTCGGAGCCCCCGAGCCCCGGGCCACGCTGTGCAGCTGACGTGCTGAGCCCACCCGGCACCTCTGGGTCCTCGCACGGGAGGGAGCCCTTACCTGCAGGGGCCAGGGTGAGGCTTCTGCTCCCAGCAGCGCTGCCCCCGGAGCCGTGGGTGCCAGCACCCATCTGCTTCTCCAGTGTGGACAAGGACTCTCGGGCCTGCGGCACGGGGCTGGGGGTGCTTCTCTGCAGAGAGAAAATGCAGGCTGTCAGCTGATCCGTCCACATGCCACAGGACGTGCCAAAGGCCCGAGGCCGCGAGCACAGAAGGGCAAGTGGCCACTCAGGCTGTGAGCCTGGTGGGCAGCCACGGGAAGGTTCTCACAAGGTGAGGCACAGGTGTCTGACCTCGGTTCTAAGGGATGGCCCTGGCTAACGGGCAAGCACTGGACCAGGGATAAATGGGCAGGGAGAGCAGTGAGGGCAGCTGTTATGATCTGACCCAGCAACTCCACTCCTACACAGAGCCAGACAACAGCAAGTACCCACACAAAACCCGCACACGCATGTCCTCAGCAGCACGATTCACAACAGCCCCAAAGTGGAAACACCCCAGATGACCACCAACAGGTGACGGATGCACACAATGTGGTCCGTCTATATGGTGGAACATCTCTCAGCCACGAAAAGGAGAGAAGCCCTGACACTCGCTACCACATGGACGGACCCTGAGAACACGATGCTCAGTGAGAGAAGCCAGACACAGAAGGACCCACAGTCCGTGATTCCACTGACAGGAAACGTCCAGAACAGGCAGATCCACAGAGACAGACAGTGGGCTCCTGGTTGTCAGGGGCTGGGGAGGGGATGTGGGTGACTGCTGGTGGGGATGGGCTTCCTTTTGGGGGGATGGAATGTTCTGGAACTAGAGATGGCTGCACGACTGGTGAATGTACTAAAACCCACTGCACCGAACACCTTAGGTGGGTGAGTTGTGTGTGACTGACATCTCCATAAACACGAACAGCCCACTCCACAGGAGAGTGTCATTTCCAAGTCCATGCGTGTGAGGCTGAATGCACATGTGAACTAGAAGGAAAGGGAGAAATTTCTACAGATTCTGGAAGTTTTAGTCCCTCTCCGTTTGCACACGTCGCCTTTTACTAGAAGGATCTAAAGTAAAAGTGGCAAAATGTTACTGGAATTAAACGTGGACATCAGACATTCTGTTTTTCTCGGGCATCACGGTAAGCTCCAAACTTAACCACGTGCAATTGAACAAGAAGGCTCTAGGCCTCGAGGGGAAAGAACAAGAGCACCGGCTCTCTTGGCGCCTACACACGGTGCCTGGGGACGCCAGGCTTCCAGGCCAAGGGCCTCACTCACCACCTTCTCGGCGCGGCTGGGCAGCACAACGCTGGCCAGGGGGATGCTGACTGGCAGCTTGCTAGGCTGCACGGTGCTGAGCGGGATGCTGACGGGCAGGCTGGTGATGGCCTCCCCACTGCTGGCGTAGGTGCGCTCCTTCAAACCCTGCAGACACACCACCGGGCCGGCCTGCTCCCGCTGACCAGGAAACTGGGCCTTGAGCACCGCCCCGAGGGACACAGCAGCCCTCCAACCAGTGACAAGTCACCCCCACCCCAAAGCGATCCTCCCGACCTGCCAGGGCCCCCGCCCATCACCCCAGCACACACCCCATCGCAGGAGCACAACAGGCTTTTCCCTTCCCCTGCTGCTCAACCCGGCCTCTCCTTTCCCCAGAGACAATCCCACTCTTCCAGCCTCACCCCAGGGCTAGGGTGCGGCCAGGCAGCCTCCCACCTGCCCTCCCAGCCCTACTCCACCCCATGCGTGGGCACTTTCACAAAAGAGCGGTGGACTCACCTTCTCACTGCCCTTCTCTCCCGTCATCTGCAAGGCCGCAGGGGACGAGGGCCGAGGGTCCTGTGGGCTCAGTTTGATGCCGTTGGCGATGCCGGGGCTCTGGTACGGGAGGCCGTTCTCCTTGGCATGTTCAGCTCTGGAAACGAGACGTGCCCTCGGTCATTTTCTGGGGAGCCCTCAGAGCCACAATTTTGCGTTCAGAGCTGGCCGCCTGGGCCTAACAACCCCCGAGATTCTCTTCCAAACTGACAATCCCCCGCTCAGGAGGCCCCCCCACCATGAGCTCACCGTGGGTGCAGCTCGCTGGCGGTCGCCCTGCTGTTGGCTGTGTGGTCCTGGCTCAGGTGGCGCCGCAGCACCAGCTTGGCCGGGGAGAGCCTGGTGTAGTCGGGCAGGGCCAGGCCGGACAACTTCTCGAGCCTCGGCCGGCCACTGTGGTTCGGGGTGCAGGGCACGACCTCCTGGTCCAGGGGGGAGGCCAGGTACTGGGGGGTGTTCTGCTTGGGTGAGGGCCGGCTCAGTGCGCCGCAGAGCTCATAGCTGGCCGCGTGGCCGTTCATGGACAGCTCCGGGCTCATGTTGCTCAAGTGGGGTAGGGAGAACCTGGCGCAGTCCAGCTCCAGGTGTGGCCGGCCGGGCTCGGCCTCTGGCTCTCGGCCCAGGCCACCCTTCCCGCGCAGGTGCAGAGACAGGGCGTCGTCGGGCGGCACGCAGGACTTGAGCTGCAGGAGCTCCTGCTGTCGCTGGCTCTTCTCCAGCTCCACAATGCTGATCTGGGGGACGAGAGGAGGCGTCAGGCCTGAGAGGCCCCATGCCCAGCACCTCACTGGCAGGGACAGTCCTGCAAGAGCGAGAGGGACGTGGGCCGGCTAGAGGGACATGCGCCGGCTAGTGTGACGGGCAGACGCGCCGGCCTGAGGAAGAGAGGGGCCCAGGCTCCGTGGCTGTCACCGCGACCGCGAGGGTAAGGTATCGGCCCGGGGGGCTGGGGCCTGAGGCATCGTTTGGCTCTCCCCGCAATGAATCAAGGGCCCACAGCTTCGGGCCGCCTCTCGGTGACACAGGAGCGTGAGCGCCCAGCGCGCAGCCTCCTGAGACTCCTCCTGCACACAGGCTGGCAGCAGGGCCGGGCCATGACAGGAGGCAGCGCGACACCGTATCCCGGGACCTACAGCCGCTCCAACGGCTACTTGGGGGACGTGTGTCTTTAGGGACGTAGCCTCCAGAGCAGCCTCCGGCGCAGAGGAATTCACTGCAGTGCCATTCTGCAGTATCCCATCCCTGAAAGCCCCCAGGGCCAGGCAACAGGGAAAGCTTCACGTAAATCACGAAACCTCGCTGGGGAGGCGCAAAGTGGTGGGAGGCCTCGGCCTGCAGACGGGCTTCCTGAAAGCCCGCACTCGCAGGCTGATCTGTCCGTCCTTCCTTCCTGCACCATCCTCTGCTCACCTCGTCAGTATGAGCTGCTCTCATGGTGCAAGCGAGGGCCGCCAGCGGCGGCCTCAGAAACAAGGCGCTCGCAAGCCCGGGCGGTGCGGCGGGGACTGGGCCTAGGACGCTGGTCCCGGCGCCCCAGCTGAAGCCCGGAGCCCCCCCGCCTCCGACAGGCTTCCTACCTGCAGCTCCAGGCAGTGCCTCTGCTTCTCCGAGATCTGGCTCTTCAGGGCCTGCTTCTCCTTCAGCAGGCCCTCCAGGGACAGCGTGGACCAGTCCAGCTTCAGCTCCTCGCACCGTGCCTTGAGCTGTGGGGATGGGCGGGCGGCTGTGAGGCGTCGGAGGCCCCTGGACGCCCCGCGAGAATCCTGAGGGAGGATGGGGACGGGGGGCAGGGGGGCTGCCAGGACCCACTGCCGCAGACTCGGGGGCTGCCCTCGGTCATCTCTCCGTCCCGGGACCCGGCCCGGCCTGGGGGGGCCCCGCCTCGGGCAGACCGCCAGTCCCGCCGGCGCACCAGCCGCAGGCTCTGGCTCCTCAGCTCCCGGTTGCCCTTCTCCAGCTGCTCCGTCTGCTCCCTCAGCTGCTGGTTGTGAGCCGAGATCTCCTTCTGCGCTTGGATCAGGTCGTTGTAGGTCAGCGCCTTCACTCCCAGCTGAGGACAAACGACGGCAGAGGGGGGCTCTCACGGGGGGCCAGGGGCATCGCGAGGCAGAAAGCCTTCCTCTGACCACCTCTGGGCCTCTCCATCAGGGAGACTTTCAACGTGAAGCGCACCAGTCCCTCTGGATCTTGGCCGGACGTCCGGCTGGGCCCTGGGCCCCGCCCGCCCCCATCCCGCGCCAGGGCGTCTGCGTGGCCGCAGCGTGGCCAGGGCAGGGCGTCTACCTCATCGAGTTTCTGCTGGAAGAGCCTCCTGGTCTCCTCCCTCTGAGCTCGGCAGTGGCCGAGCAGCTGCTGCGCGGCACCCAGCAACCGGGCGTTCTTCTCCTGTGGGGCAGGGCCGTGAGCGCGAGCCCCCGGGATGGGCGCCCCGCCCGACTTGCGGACACGGCGGCGGACACGCACCCGTGAGGAGGGTGGCCACACCCCCGTCAGGGCCTCACCCCGGAACGTAGCACCACGTTACCAGGAGCCACAGAGCCTGACGCTCCCCGCCCTCAGGAAAGCTGGGGTGCCCGCACCGGGCCCGCACGAGGGCGGCCGCACCTCACAGCCCCCCACCCCAGCCCCGCCACCGAGGCTGCAGGGCACACTGTCCCCAGACGAGCTTGCCTCAAATGGGGCAGCAGGGCCCGGCCAGCCGCAGCCCGGGGGCCATCAGGCCCCGCAGGTGAGGGGAGCTGGGTGTGGCAGCACCACGTGTGGCTCACCTTCTCCTGGTCCAGCAGCTGCTGCAGGTTGGCCTTGTACTGAGGGGTCTTTGTGTACGCCAGGAACTGTAGGTACTGAATCTTGAAGGATTCTACGAGGGGAGCCAAGACAAGGTTTTAACTCAGAAACCCTCCAGATGAGGCTCGAGGTGGGTGGGGTTTGGGAACGACGCGCAGGTTCTCCAGGGCCCGAGTGGTGCTGGGGTCGCACGGTGCCATTGTCGTGCCGGGGCCCGTGTCCCCACACTGCCTCAGCATGTCCCGCCGCCACGTGGGGCTCGCGCCCACGTGGGGACCCTCACAGCTCCTGCCATCCCCAGCTCGCGTTTTCGTTCTCCCCAAGGACACATGGGCTGCGGTCAGCCAGTCTGCCGGTCTTCTCGGTAAACATATGCTACCGATGTTGAATTGAGAAAATTGTACAGGAGTTTCCTTCATCCACTTTCTGAAGGGACGAGGCATCTCAAGGCAGCCCAGCCACGTGAGCACGAGCTCGACTCGGCAGGACAGGGCCCTGCTCCCTCGGGGCACCGGGCTCATCCCGGACAGGTCTCCCTGACACTGCAGACACGGGGCTGGGTCCCTCTCTGTGGGGCACCCTGGGCACTGTGCGTGGTGGAACAGCATCCCTGGCCTCCACCTTCTTGACGCCAGGAGCCCCCCCTGCTCCAGTCGAGATGATGCCCGCAGACGTGGCCTCACTTCCCCTGGGGCAGGACCGCAGCCTCAGATCGCCGCACAGGCCCCGCTGACCCCAAAGCCCAGGCGCGCCCTGGCAGGACTGAGCCTGAGCCCTGGGGGTGGTGCCATGCAGCGGGGGTTTCCCAGGGTGTATGCGAACAAGCCGCCCCGCCCGCCCGGCAACCCC